AAATACATTAGAGTAAATTATAATTGTGCACTTAATTTATCAAGCTCAAGGATTCTTTACACACAGATAGTCGGGCTGAGACCATCAATGGACTACACTTGAGAAACCCAGCTGATATCTCAGGCAACCGCCTGAGATTTGAACCTGGAGCCTCAACGCTCTCGACCTCTGACAACCGCCCGGCCACCTCGTTACGAAGTCGTGAATGCGTCGCCAAATCGTCGAGAGGGCCTGCGTTTTATTTACGCGGTCCTCAAGCGTGTCGGCTGCGTGCACGGGTCGCCCCCCGAGCACATTAACCCCTTGAGCCAAACCCAAATCTCGCCGCTTCTCAGCGGGGAGCCGGAGTCAGTCGCGACCTGCAGCAAGAACCGGAAAGGCGCTCTTGCGGAACGTAACAGTCAATCATTTAACATTCGTAAAGGCGCATTTCATCCGAGGATTCCCCAATGCGCCGTGCATGGAACATCAGGGAAATAAGACAGAGCCAGCAGCAGCGTAATTCACCAAACACTATGGGGGAAAGGGCCACGTGAACGTGGTCTGGTCGGTATCCGCACTGATCCTGCTGAACCCGAACGAGAGGGGTCGGCGACTGATTAACAAGAGGAGGCGATCATTTTCGAATTCGGTTTTAGACAAATATAATTTAAAAAACAGCAACCTCTCAATATTTCAAGAGCCGCAGTGCCTTGCGGTGAATACGAGATGGCGGTCATTAAAAAATAATGCCCTTCAAGAGCCGCACGCGCAGCTACGGAGCCGCAGGTTTCTGCCGACCCCCTGACCTAGACGAATGTACGCGTGGGATTACATCTGTCACCCGGCTTCCCGACTGCGAGCAGAACTACCCCAACTCCTCTTTAACCCCCCACCACCCCAACCTCCCGCCTGTTATAGTAACCGTCGCCCTAACTCCACCACCACTTGCAACAATAACCCCACCGTTTTTCTCAACCACGAAATCATCTTGCGTGCAAATTGTATAATTGCTGCAAAGCGCCTTGCATTAAGGCGCTATATAAATCCAAGATAAGAGAGGAAAGAGCACAGCAGCGAATCATCTCTTTTACGCGGCAGTGAATGTAGCGCCTGTGGTGGCCGCACCTTACGTAATCCAACCACGCTGATCAGAGGTGCCGAGATACAAAACAAATCAGTTGGACTCGATGCGTCTACATGAGTGGAACTTAAGAATTCGATGTCAGTACGGTCCCGTCATGCACCGAAGTCCAATTTCTCGCGGAGTTTTCTGTTCCCCTCCAAATGTCGACACGAACGTGAGAGGCATCATAGACAGACATCATAGAGAGACATCATAGAGAAGAGGCACGTCATAGAGAGAAGAGACATCGTAGAGAGACATAGTAGAGAAACATCATAGAGAGAGAAATCATAGAGAGACATAGAAGAAAAGAGAGACACCGCACGTGAGATACATCGTAGAGAGACATCGTAGAGAGATATCATACAGAGGGCCTGGGCCGGATGCGTAGCCCGACGGGGCGATCGCCCGGGCATTGGCGAGACTAAACGATGGAGCGGCAGTCAATAATTGAACATTTTTGGACCCAAAAACGGCAGAATGTACGTACATCATGTACATACATTTTGTATGTTGATGAACTGTGAATAAGCCAACCAACAATTATATATCATCGATATCCATTGTAATTTATATGAATATACATTAACCCCCTCGCCTCCTCTGGTCTTCGCACCTGATTGGCTCACAAGTGACGACGTCACATTTATCTCCACAACTCTGTGGCTGTCGCCTGATGACGCTGGTTGTTGTGATTATATACCGGCGAAACGTCACGGTAAATGTTGTGGGTTTACACTCCAACTCACCGGTGTGCTGAAGTGGTTAACTAATTGGCATGTTTTATTTACGTGACAAACCTTACTAATTGGCTGTGTCCGGTGGTGGCGGGTTTAATGAAACATTTGTATATTTACGCAATCTAACCCAATAAAAACCTCTTTCATGGATAATATTGGTTCGCGAAAGCTGACTACGACTACTACGACCAATACTACTACGTCTACTACTATGACCAGTACGACCACTACTACTACTATGGCTACTAACTACTACGACCACAACTACTACGACCACTACTACAACGACTACTACAACGACTACTACTAACACTACAACGAATACTACGACTACTATGACTACAACTACTACTTCAACTACTACCACTACTGCTACGACTACAACTACTACCACTACTACGACTACTAATATGACTACGACGACTACCACTACTACTACGACTACTATGACTACCATTACGACTACAACCATAACTACGACTGCTATGACTACTACTTCTAACTACTACTACGACTACTATGACTACTAACTGCTATGACTACTACTTCTAACTACTACTACGACTACTATGACTACTAACTACTACGACTACTACTTATAACTACTATTACGGCCACTTCTACTATGACCACTACTACTACAACAACTACTACGACGACTAACTACTACAACCACTACTACTAAAACAACTATGGCCACTACTACTAACTACTACGACTACGAACTACTACGACTGCTACTAACTACTACGACTACTACTACTACAACCTCTACTACTACGACTATTACTACGACCTACTACTACTACAGCCTCTACCACTACTACTACAACTACTACGACCACTACTACTACAACTACTACAACCACTTATACTACAACTACTATGACTACTAACTACTACTACTACGACCACTACGACTAAAAACTACGACTACTAACTACTACGACTGCTAATAACTACTACGATTACTAACAACTACGAAGATTATTAACTACTACTAACTACCACGTGTTAAACTGAAAGGAGGGAGACGCGCCCGAGAGGACTTCCCCCGTGGAAGCGGAGCTGGATTAAAATCGTGGAGCTGGATTAAAATCCAGCTCCACGTGCAGCTGCCAGACGGAGCGTTGCATCGCGGTGATCAAGTTCAAGTTCATGTATTAGGTGTAGCCCTGTGAGCCATTCGGATCTTGAATCTGGTGCAACCTCAACAAACAGAAAACAAAAACATGAACAAGAAAACATCTTAAAGTGACTATGTGACTAAGTGCAAACAGAAAATCCAAGAAAAGACAGCAAAATATTGCATAAAAAGCACCGTACACCAACACTCTGTGAAAAAATCCCAGTGGGATGCAAGTCAAACAACAACAACCACAAGACAACTTAGATTAAAGCCATCAGTATAACTCTGTACTACAACAAACAAACATGGCCAAACCAAAAAACTTTTCGAAAATCACCAAAATAAAGCCATAAAAGCAATGAAACAGTGATCATAGGAACTGTGACCGAATTATCACAATAAACGACGAAAACAACATGTACCACGAAACCCTGCAGCCATAGCTGGCTGCATGAGTCACTCCACAACAGCAGGAGCATCAGTCGGAGTATCAACATTTTTCAATGCACCTTTAAGATCAGCACACTAAATCAAAACACAGATCATACTTTGCAGCGATCATCCGGAGCGAAACATTGTATTTTAGGCCACTAAATTGCAGTGGCAGCTAGGGGTGTACAACTCCTCGAGTAGTTTTGAGTGAATATCTCATAGGTAGTGACTCAAGTTGCAGTTTATTGGCAATATCATTCCAGACCCTGGGGGCATCAATAGCAAAGGCCCTTCCTCCAGTATTTGTACGGCAATAAGGAATGTGAAGCTGGTAAATGAGCGAAGACCTTAGGTCTAATTTGTTCTTTGAAACAGAGAGGAGATCCAGCAGGTAATCTGCGGATCGCAAGAGGTGGCGACAGATTTGGGAGGCTTTCACCCAGCGGCGAGTAGATGGTCATGGCTGGCGATGAACGATTTTTTTATCTAGATTCGAAACTATTTTTTTCAGAACTGCTTGTTGTGTTTAGTTTGTTGCTCTTAAGCCCGCACCTCCCATTAGCCCTGTTGTCTACGTACGGTGTGACAGAGGTACAATATACAGGGTGTTTTAAAGAGAAGGACCCGATTTGAAATCGCTATATCTCTGCAACCACGAACCGCCCATGAATGAAACTCTTACCACTTGAAAGGGCGGGGCATAGAGAGGGCGGGGCATAGAGAGGGCATAGAGAGGGTGGGGCATAGCGAGGGCATATAGAGGGCGGGGCATAGAGTTTCAAACGATTACCGCTAAGATGCCTCTCCCAGCGCACAAACAGCCTCTAGCCTCAGTCATTCGCAGGACACACTGCCTCAATGTTGGATAGGTCGCACGGGACCCCAAGACTTGGCGCTACACTCTTGGCCCCCAAGATCCCCAGACATCACACCCTGCGACTTTTTATTGTGGGGATACGTCAAAGACCGTGTTTTTGTGCCACCGTTAGTGACTAATCTGGATGACCTCAAAAACAGAATCACGGCAGCGGTGACTTCAGTGGAAGATGACACTTTGAGAGGCGTTTGGGACGAATTCAACTATCGTCTCGATGTTGTCCTACAGCAGGTGGAGGGCACATAGAGCATTTATAAAATGGTTAGTAAAACTTGATAACTCATTAAACCGTTTGTAATTTTTTTGTGTAATTGTAACATGTTGCCATCGTGAAATATACTGCTTTGAAATGGGATCCATCTGTCTGAAACACCCTGTACATGCGTATGTACTCATCATTCATCTGCAAGCCCGAGTGAGAAGGGATTAAACATTTCATAGTTCATGTTTAACATTCCCACATTTTGGTACTTTACAATCACGCGAATTCATTAGATTCCCTCGATCAAGTAAACAAACATAAAACTCCTGGACCCGAAACAACATTGCTTGACGGGAGACCACGATATCTCCCACGATTTAATGAGGTTATTTTTCTTCTATTTCTGTTCACGGAAGAAGAAAAGAACAACACAAAAGTGATAGTCGATTCTCCGATTGTAATTCGTCGTCGTCTTGGGCTTCCACAACAACGACAAAACCCCACGCCCCATTTACCTGGCGACGCCAGCGTCGGCTGCGGCGCGGAGCAGCGGGCCGTCACCTGGGGACACGTGGCCACCGGGGCCCTGTCGACCCCCTTGCAGCCGACCGCGTCCCCTCGGAGGGGCCGCGGGAGAGGCCAGGGCGCCGCCAGGGGCTGGTACGGATCCGGCAGCACGCGGGACCGTGACAGCGCCATGTGCACGACCCTCTTGTCCAGGGAGCTGAGACACAAAAAAGACAAAGATCCCCCCCCTCTGTGTAGCCTTAACAAACTGTTGGAGCAAGTGCTTGTTAGGGAGCACCTGTGAAAGGCCGGCACGGCGCACGAGGGGGTGGGTGGCTGGCATCACGCCTGGCCGACTTCGTCTGCCCAGTGGCGATGTTTACACACCGCACCGGGTACTCATTTGCGGCGGTTCAGACAATCGTCACCGTGAGCAGAAATTTAATTCGGGTCGTCGGGTTCGCAGCGCAGCGCGCTAACCGCCACCCTACCGCTCCCCACTGAGACACACTCACGTACACACCAGGGACGTACACACGAACACGTGGGCACAATCACAGCTGGGCACCCGCCACATGAACGCGATGCCGGCGCGCGCGCGGGTCGTTACGCCCGCGCCGTATTTGGGAGATATTTTTCATTCTCCACGGGGAGCGAAATGTCACGGCGTCTTTGACTCCCGGCGCTCCACAGGTACCGTGGCAAGTACTGCGCTGCGTAGGTGGGTTGTTACGGTACGTGTCTAAATGCCAGTGCCCCCCCCCCCACCACCAGGGAAAGGAAGACGCCTTTGGGAAAATAGCGGAAGGACAACGGTGCTGTCTGGTGCAGCTGAATTTACGAGATTCATTACACGGACAAAATATAGCACAAATATCCCCCGTATAGACTTGCGGGGCAAGTGCCGTTAGCGAGCACCTATGAAGGTCGGCAGGGCACACGAGAGAGTGGGTGGCCGCCTTAGTCTCTCTAGTGGCGAGAATTACACACCGCACCAGGTACTCAGTCGAGGCTGAGTCAACCTAGGGGAGGCACAGGACCGTTTCAGATGACCGTCACCGGTGGTGGTGACCGTGGGCGGGAGTCGAACTCGGGTCGCCGTGTCTGTCGCACAGCGAGCTCACGGCCACGAATACAAAGACGCACGCGTGCACGCAGACAAAGACAAAGCGCTCACGTTTAGCCTGAGAAGAGTTTGACAAAAATGTTATTTTACTTTTTGTTAAGATACGTTTATTCAGATTTTAATTCATTCAGCAAATTGATTTTTGTACTCGTTTGTTTGTTGAGCATTTCTTAGTTTTTTTCCGTAAGTTATTGGTATGCTGAGTGTCTGCTGCGTCTTGCACAGCACTTCAAGATAATTTGATAAAAGGCACTTTATGCATAAAATTATTATCCGGGGTGAGAACTCCATTCTGTATCTCCACTCATAGATATCCAGATCTTTTAGTCCATCAGTTTATTGACTTTCTATTGAAAAAAATATTATGCAGCGTTTTTTAAGCAAGTCAGGATAAAATTTTGATTTAAAGCTTTCGTGACTGCAGGGATTCATATTCTTGGTTCTTTTGGTAAAGTCACGTAGAAGGGAAATAATAAAATAATACGAATATAAAACAATACAAATACAAATTCTCACGACGTTTCGACTGCAACACAAGCAATCATCATCAGGTGTGAAATCCACAGCAAGAAAATAAAAATAAAAATCTTGCTGTGGATTTCAATTTGAAAAAATAATTTTCTTGCTGTGGATTTCACAGCTGATGATGATTGCTTGTGTTGCAGTCGAAACGTCGTGAGAATTTTTATTGTTTTATATTCGTATTATTTTATTATTTCCCTTCTACGTGACTTTACCGAAAGAGCCAAGAATACAAGTCAGTATTGTTAAACAAATGCGACTGGCTTATGAGATGTTACAAGAAAGAGCGCTCCATCTAAACTATGGGAGATCAGTCAGCGAGGCGAAGCTGTCCGCTGGCCAGCAGCACTTGCCCCAAAATTGTGTCAAGTACAGTGAGAGAAAAAGTATTTGATCCCCTGCTGATTTTGTACGTTTTCCCACTGACAAAGAAATGATCAGTCTATAATTTTAATGATAGGTTTATTTGAACAGTGAGAGACAGAATAACAACTAAATCCAGAAAAACACATGTCAATAATGTTATAAATTGATTTGCATTTTAATAAGGGAAATAAGTATTTGACCCCCTCTCAATCAGAAAGATTTCTGGCTCCCAGGTGTCTTTTATACAGGTAACGAGCTGAGATTAGGAGCACACTCTTAAAGGGAGTGCTCCTAATATCAGCTTGTTACCTGTATAAAAGACACCTGTTCACAGAAGCAACCTCGTGGAGTTGTAATGATCATGAGAACGGTGAGGAATCAGCCCAGAACTACACGGGAGGATCTTGTCAATGATCTCAAGGCAGCTGGGACCATAGTCACCAAGAAAACAGTTGATAACACACTACGCCGTGAAGGACTGAAATCCTGCAGCGCCCGCAAGGTCCCCTTGCTCAAGAAAGCACATATACATGCCCGTCTGAAGTTTGCCAATGAACATCTGAATGATTCAGAGGACAACTGGGTGAAAGTGTTGTGGTCAGAGAAGACCAAAATGGAGCTCTTTGGCATCAACTCAACTCGCCGTGTTTGGAGGAGGAGGAATGCTGCCTATGACCCCAAAAACACCATCCCCACCGTCAAACACGGAGGTGGAAACATGCTTTGGGGGTGTTTTTCTGCTAAGGGGACAGGACAACTTCACCGCATCAAAGGGACGATGGACGGGGCCATGTACGGTCAAATCTTGGGTGAGAACCTCCTTCCCTCAGCCAGGGCATTGAAAATGACCCAAAACACACGGCCAAGGCAACAAAGGAGTGGCTCAAGAAGAAGCACATTAAGGTCCTGGAGTGGCCTAGCCAGTCTCCAGACCTTAATCCCATAGAAAATCTGTGGAGGGAGCTGAAGGTTCGAGTTGCCAAACGTCAGCCTCGAAACCTTAATGACTTGGAGAAGATCTGAAAAGAGGAGTGGGACAAAATCCCTCCTGAGATGTGTGCAAACCTGGTGGCCAACTACAAGAAATGTCTGACCTCTATGATTGCCAACAAGGGTTTTGCCACCAAGTACTAAGTCATGTTTTGCAGAGGGGTAAAATACTTATTTCCCTCATTAAAATGCAAATCAATTTATAACATTTTTGACATGCGTTTTTCTGGATTTTTGTTGTTGCTATTCTGTCTCTCACTGTCCAAATAAACCTACCATTAAAATTATAGACTGATCTTTTTTTGTCAGTAGGCAAACGTACAAAATCAGCAGGGGATAAAATACTTGTTTCCCTCACTGTATACACGGGGGATTTTTGCCTTTGCACTGGAGAAGTCGGCGGTGCAGTCGTTGTCCACACTGCTCTGTGAGCACGCTGGCCCAAGTCAGTGACAAGCGACATCTAACAACTGTCGTGGGCCTTCCCACCTTCACCAAGCGGCAGGAAAGGTCAAACAACTCCCGTGGCTGGCGAGGGGGGAGACTTTCATCCAGCAGTGGATCGAGAAAGGGGCGTAGGTCCAAGTCGTTGTACGTATACATATTTTTTTAATGCAATATTGTATACAAAGTGCGTGCAGTCGCCGGTTTGGGACTGCTTTTTCAAAATTGCAGCTGCTAAGTTATTCATAAAATTATTTTCTTTCGCGACCAGCAGCGTTTGAAACAGCCCCACGCGCAATGCGGCGCACACCCCGTGCCCTCCGGAGCGAGGGCGCGAGAGAGCGATCGTGACAGAACCCACGGCACACACCGCCGCTGTGACTCATTTTCATAATTTTCCGCGGACGTAGCGTCGTTTCTTCTTCTTCTTATTCTTCTTTAAATCGCTACATCGCTTTTTTGTTATTAATAATTTATTTTAATTTTTTACACTCCGGACATTGCTCAGACGCGCCGCAGCTCACGCGCTCCAACGCGCTCCAACGCGCCGCCGTTCACGAACGTCAACGTCCTCCTGCCACCCTTATTGCGCCCTTCAATCTCGAGCGCCTCTTGACGGTGCTCGCTCGCCGCGGCGCCCGAGGTGCGACCAGCGAGCATCGCTCACCTTCAGCTACGACCCACGGCGGTGACAACTCGAGAGCGATCCACTCCCACTACCTCGCCCCCCCCCACCCCACAACCGAACGTGAGGACCCCAAAGCGGCTGTTGTCCAATCGCCGCCGTGTGCGATGCGGCCGCGCGAGTTCTTCCTTAGCACTCCACGGCTCTCCGATCATGGTGGTTTTTTTGGGGCGCCATGGTGGCGAGATGTGAACTCCCTCACCTGGTGTACAGGAGGTCGTGGCTTCGATCCCAACCCCGACGCCTGTATATTTGGAGTTTGCATGCCTCTCTCCCCGTGATCGTGTGGGATTTTTTTCAGGTCCTCCAGTTTTTTACCTCCACATTTAGAATAAAACGCGCGTTTAGGATATTTGGCTGATAATATTTCCACGTGATAATCCACTGAATTGGGCTAATCATTTGTGGCCAGGTCGCTTTTGAAAAAGAGCTGATATAGCTCGGTGAGCCTTTGCTGGTAAAACAAAAAGTAGTTTATCGTTAGTTTCTTCGGTAGATATGGGGACGTTTCGCTCCACGCGTTGGGAGCTGTTCCTTCTTCGTGAATGACGTTCAACCGAACTGAGTTCCTCAAAGTCACTGAAGACGCTTGCAGCACGTGGAGCTAAAACGTGTGACGTCACCGCACAAACGACACGTGGTATCGCCCGACATGCTTTTTGCCTTTAGTATGATGTCTCTCCCCAGCACCTCTCATTAGCGTGGCTGGCTGCGTGGGGTGCGAAAGAAGTTCAACATACAGTACACACGCACACAGCTGAGAGCTACGCAGCAGCAGCAGCAACGTTCAACATTTCTCTTCAGAAACAAACTGCAAAAGCAACGCAATGCGACTTAAGGTAATGTTCACATGTGAGGACGTCTCGGAACAGACACAGGGGCAATATTTACGTTGAAGAGAGAGGCGGTAAGTCGTGATGGGATCAAGGGGAAACAAAATAAAAGGCAGGAAGTCAACAGCACGGAGGGCTGCAGGAAAGGAGATCCAGGGGATAGCGAGTGACCCACCACTGCACTGCTGGAGGTCCACAAAGTGGTACCCACTTTATCTACCCGGGAGACTGCGTTTGTAACTCACCACACC